TGCAACTTTTTTTTTAGTTCTGAAAATGACACTAACCTGTTTCTTCCACTAAGATTTTCAATTAATGTAGCTAAAGTAATTTAAATTTCTTAATTTAATGTTATATACTGTTATCTTCGGTGACTTTATATTATTAAAGTAAGAAAAGCTCGTTGTTTGTAATCCATGCCATTGAATAAAGATAAAATGTATTTAACATCTCTTGGCATGATGCTATTGCTCACGGCAGATTCATGATAGTAAAAATTCCCCTTAAATTAAACACTTAATTCCAAAGTATAGGTATTAAAACTGCTTGGTGCAGTTTTGAAAGTCACCAAATATATCAATATAATATTTTATACTTATCCTGGTATATTTGGTACTTCTTATATGACCCTTCAACATTTGAGTTAATACATGTTAGTCAGTGGCAGCCAACTAATGCCGAATTTTTTAAAATAAATATACATTCGAACTTCAAAAGGATTGTGGAGCCTGACTATTTCTCTATCTGACTTTTAATTTACTGTTAAAATATTTATAAGTAGTGGTGGAAAAAATTTCGTTTATTTCGAATTCTTTAAACTATTAATGCACTGGATATTAATACCACTGGAAAAAATATTTTCTGAAACTGCGGAAAATCCATTGCAGAATTCCTATCAGAACCAGTTTTCCAATTACCATAATACCAGTAGTACATATTACCGTCAGTGATACACATGAATTAAGCGTCATCTGTGAATGGGAATTTTTTACGGTTTTCTTAAACAAATTTACCATTAATTTTTTCTCCATGAGATTGGCTCATGAGCACACAGCTTATTTTATTTTACTTCAATTAATACACATTATCAATATTAATTGAGCTTTAGTGTCAATAATAATATGCAGATTTTTTTTACGGTTACCCAAAACGCAAATAAGTATCTTTTCTACTTACTTTTGCTTTTGAGTTCAGAAGTCACTTTTTTTTAAATTTCAATTATTATATATTACCAACATTAATTAAGCATCATTGTCTTCAATGATAGTAGGACGATTTCTTACTGTTGTTTTAGCCTAATAAATACCTTTACTCCATTTCTTATGTTTTCTAGTATATTGCTCACTTCTTTTATTTCAATATGCATAAATTACCTTAATTAATTAAGCATAATTGGCGTAATTAAGCCTCGTTGGTGCCAATTTTTTATGTTTCTCCTAAACGAATTAGTACCACTTTCCCATTAACACGTTGAATGCCACGTTAATTTTACATGGCTTGCCCGACTGACTAGAATGATTTTCTAGTATGTGTTGCATATTTTGATGAAATATTGCTTGCAACAAAACAGCTAATTATTTTAATCATTCGTGACACATTTAATTCACTGAGGTCACTGGTGCCCCCCGTGGCACTGCGAACAAACTTAGTGCCAGTCCCCGGTGACCCCTATGGCATTCAACGTGTTAATTTCTGCTTTTGAATACATTAAAAAAAATTCTGTTCCATTACCGTTGGTTTTAAATAAGTATTTATTTAGAAACACGTTTAAAAGAATTGATATGAATAAAATAAAAGCACGTGGTATCAGCTACCATGTAAAGTTCATTGAATTCATCTGGCATAGCGAATTTATTTTTTCTTTTTCCAATGACAGGCACTGAATTTGAATCTTTGCCTATGAAGATGCCGGAATTGTTGCTCATTTAACGTTACCCAGTGGGCACCTGTGAACCAAAGTCACGGAGGCGAGCAACATTACCCACGCATCACTGCCACAAACCCGTTTATAGGGTGGGCCACATTCACACATCACACGCACACACACACAACAGAGGACAGCACAAGGAGAGAGAGACACATCCATGACCATTCGAACCCGCAGCCAATGGCTTCGCAGTCAGGTGCACTAACCGCTCGGCCACCTGGCCGGCGCATAGTGAATGCAAAATAATTTAATATTGAAATATGTGCAATAAACTATTTTTTGATCAAACGAAGCTATAAACTAGCATATATCACTGATGTATTTTTAAAATATATGAAAATTGATTCGTTAAATTTAAAACAATGGCTAACGCTTAACCAATACTAAAATTCCATTAGGTTTTTCGCTCATCCTGATAGAACGAATTATCTTAGAATGTTAGATATCGTAGAACGATTTATCGTACAGTGACCTTTCTTGTGCTTTAAACTATCTGTATACCAAATTTTCTCGCCTTCTGTCGGGTGGTTTAGGAGTCTATAAAGGACATACATACACATGCACAGACAGACTGATTACATTCATTTATGTATATATACAGGGTGATTCCTAAATGATGGGCAAAATTTTAGGAAGTGATAGTACACACCCAAGCAAACAATTTTTATCAAAGAATGAATCGAAAACAAAACGCAAAACCGCTAGAGGGCGTCAAAGTTTATGTTAGTATATGAGGTAAAAACACACAAAGAACGATGAAGTTAAGTTATAAAAGCAAATTTAATGGCATGTCATTACAATAAGTGTTCAAAGCAGTGGCCGGCGCAGCGGCTATGCACGCAGTACAACGGCGAAGAAAAGATAGGTGAACATTCTGAAACACACCAGGCATATCACAAGCTTTCCCTACAGCGGCCGAAAACTTGGCGACAAATAACGCAGCGTAGTAACTCGCAACAGGAATGGAGCTTTCATGTTAGGATCAAACAACTTTCCAAATGCGCCAGCACCTTTGCGTTTTGTTTTCGACCATGCATTCTTTGATAAAAATTGTTTGCTTGGGTGTGTACTATCACTATCAGTGTGTACTAAAATTTTGTCCATCTTTTTAGAATCACCCTGTATATATATATAGATCGGTACACCCAGAGGTA